CACTGCTTTCTTACTCTTGCTGGAGGTATTTATTCAGAACATGTACTCTGTAGCATATCTGACCAAAGACAAAATTCACCATATGATGTTGTCTGACCATAGGTCTTGTTACCAAGTTACACACAATTCCTGGTACAGCAGAGTTGACTGCTGGTTTGATATACCACTATTGTGGAGAAAAATGTTAAGAAATGCCAAGAACAATTTCTAGCTGATTCCTCACATGCCCACTTCCTTAGTATTTTTCATAAATCCTTGAAGTGCTAGAAATGCCTAGCATCTATTTTAGGACTTCCATCCTCCCACCAGAAATAAATTCAGGAACGAATCAGTGTGGGTTTCTAAAGGCCAATTCATTTAGCTAAAGGAAACAAAACCTCATGTTTCTATGTTGATTCTAATCCTATTCAGTGCTATTCTCTCCTTGGAATTTACATTCTTGGAATTTACATGCTCAGAACCAGATAACACTATAATGGTAAAACAAGTGAAACAACATGAGGGAGATGGCCATTCAAACATTTTAGAAAGATTTCTAAATAATATTACAAAGCAAACAAACAAACAAAACAAAATGAATATAGAAGCAGTAAAAATAAGAGCTGATTATAATTAAGAATTGAATGCCACGTGAAGCCCAAAGCTAGTCTACATTTTTCATTAAGTTGTTCAAGGCAGTATAAAAATCAAAAACATTCAAGTAGATTTGAATGTAATTTCAATCTAACAGACATTACTGGTTCCATTGATATTCCCATTCTAAATGAAGGAGCTTGCTTTACAGCATTTTATAAGAGCCCAAAAGATTTTTATTAATAGCCAAAGTGTTTTCAGGTATATAGTTGCAATATTCATATATGCACATAAAGCTTGTGGGGAGAATTCACCCAAGGGTATATGTCTGGATATAAATAAACTGTGGGCACATTCTTTGATCAGCCAAGTGCATCCTGAGACAGAGCACAACTCAATTATAAGCAATTGATCCCTGCCCCCACAACTCCCCTGGTCTCCTGAACATACCTTACAATCTTGCATAAAAATGGCCTGGAATTCAGCAGGGCCTAGGAGCAGAGCCAGAAACCACAGGACGCCCAATGTGCAACCACCAATACAGCACAGAGAAATACAGGTGTTTGGCATAAAATCACAGGTAACATTTCATGATGCAGGCACAAGAGTGAGAGCAAGCAGAGCAGAGATACATCAGTACACATATAGGGATGTAATTATTATTCCAAAGGGGATTCTGAACATCAGCAAGCCATTAGAGGACAGCTTCTTTGTTTTTCTTGCAAAACTCTACCATAACGCACAAACTAAATCTGATTGGAAATGACAGGATACTTTTTCTGACAATCCCAGCCTTTGTCCTCTGTATGTGTATGGTTTCTTCTATACCTGTCATGGAGTTGACCAGATCAATCTATGTCCGTGACAGGGGCGACAGGCCTCTGCCCTCCCCCCCCCCACCCCAGTCCCACAAAAATGGGAAAGAAGGAAGGGAGGAAAAGAACAGTGGCAACAATCTATGGAGGAAAACTTATCTTACTATAATATCGGAATACAAGATAACACAATATATACAATTTAATTGAAATTGGGATTAATAAATCAGACAAGATGAGAGAGAGTTCCTGGGACCGATTTAAACCTGAAAAGCTTGGAACGGCCAGAAAAGCACCTCCAGCACCCACTGCAAGGCAGCAAGAGAGCGCCCCCCCCCATCCGGAAGGGCCAGATCCCGTGACTGCTGTAATGTACAGGGATAGGTACCTGGAAATATTGGTGGTAGGTGGATGGTTGGTCTGGATGGTTTCCAACTTTGGTGATTCTATGATTCTATCACTGTCTGCCCGTGTAAAAGCCAGTCTCCTTCCTGCAGCTCCTGTTAAATCATGGAAGGCCGCAATCTATTGAGGTCTACTAACTAGAGACAAGACTTCTGGTTCAGGAAATTCTTGATCTGAAATGTGCTGGATACCAACAAAGCATTGAAGATCTCTGCCATGTGTTTGCCCTCTCTTTAACTTTCCCCTAGACATCCAGTATTGACCACTGCTAGAGACAAGATGTTGAATGGTTCAGTATTCTGATCTAATCCGAGACAACATCTGTGTGTTCTTACTGTAATTTTTATCTCTGTAAATCTGCTTGTCCCATCCCCGAAAGGACCATCATCTTTAGTATTTCTGAAGCTTGCTCCAGTTCTAGTAATTTGCCATTACTCTCTCACTGGAAGTAATAGCTGTCTACAGAAAGAAAAAAAAAAAAATAAAATCTTTTCATGAGAGAAAGAGTCAACATACATGGTTATAAAGAGTAAGCATACTGGGTAGGCATAGTGCTTGAGAATACTTTTCTGTAAGAAAAAAAAAAACACACACAGTGGTGGTTTGTTTTATAGTACTTAAAAAGTGATTATGAAGTAGAAAAGGCTAGCAACACTGCCTACAGCAATGCTTGTATATGTATTTCTTTCTTGGTTAAGAAAATGGTTTTATGAAAATAAAATGCATGAAGCACCTGCAGTTGGCTTAAGAACTTCAGCAACCTGCTCTCTGCAGTGATGGAACCAGTTTTCAGCAAACCGTTAAAGTAACCCAAGGTATCTTAGTAATCATGCAGTGACTTAGGAACTCAAAATACCACAGCAATGAGTGGCATTGCAGTGGGTTAAATGGTTGAGATGACTTTTCTGGTGGACTCTTCACACTCTCAACCCTTAAATCATATTACTTTAATTTTCAAGTACGCTGATCTATCAAATCAGTAACTGAAAACCATGAGAAAAAATTCTAAGTTTCCTATCATGCAGGAAAACAGCTTTTTTTTCAGTTTGAACTCTCAGATACTGAAAATTTACAAACAGATGACAGATTTCAATCATCTCATAAGAAAATGTTATACCTAGTCATTTGACAAAAAGAATTCATGACAAAATGGAAAAGGATATCTGATAATTTTTCTAAGTCTCTAAATAAACTTACTGCATGAATGATAAAGGATTCAAATTAGCAGCAGATGCAGAGAGTTACTCCATTATTTTTTTTTTAGGTAAGTAGACATCCAATGGATGGAAACCTAGCATACCGTGGAGGATGTTGATCAAATTTCTAAATGAATATCTAAAAATGATAATGAATTTGAGTCAAAATGGCATATACAAGTCTTACTGCTTTGTCCAAGTCCCTGTACTCCTTGTGCTTTCAGATTAAGGACTCTCAATGTGGCACTCGATATAAATAGGCTCTCAAAGTGTGTTTTTGTTGTTGTTAAGTGTTTTACATACTTAACTCTTCCTCAGAGAGGTGAATTATGCCCATCAGATCAACGTTCAGAGAAAGGACATGATTAAAAGACTGAAGCACTGCTGCTAATGGCAAGGAAAGACAATTCATAGGTATCCAGTTTAAAGAAGGAATAACATACAGTCTGAATCCAGCAAATGCATCAGGATGGACAAAGGAAAATGTCAGTGCTGGGGTCTATTCAGACTTAGGAAGGTGAAAAACATGTGAGTTGAGATTAAAGTAACTGTTCAAAAATGCTCAGTAATTGCATAATTAAAAAAATAAACACTTCAGGATCACATTAAAATTTTTCATTGACCTATTTTTATCACTGAAGTTACAGGCATTCCTAATAAAATGAAGGGCAATGCTCTCAAAAGCTCACATTTATATTATACATCTTTAGGTGTCTGAACACCTTAACTTGAAACTTATTTGAGCTGCAGTTCCTTTACAGCTGTGAAGCAGCTCAGCCAAAATCTGACCAACTAAAAATGGCAGAGCAGAATGATCCCAAGTGAGGCTGTATGCATAATTTACAGAATTCATAAAGATAATGACACTCTTATACTGCATATTCAGTCTAAGAACTGTAGGGACATGGGCTTTAGCACCTTTCATGCCTGATTCAGTGCAACCATCTGAACATCCTGGGAAAATGTCCTAACTGGTTTGATTCAGTGGCATTCTGGCTTATACTTTGCTACTTCTCTGTGTCGAACATTTTATTTTGCATAAATTACACATTCAGGGTGTGTGAGAACTCAGAAAGGTTAGGACTTGCAAATCCTCAGATTAGGGAGACTACATGTTTGTTTTATAAGCCTTGTAGCGTATTAAAACACAGTTGAAAAAAGAAAAACAACAAATAACTACAGAGTTATCTAAGGGATGACGTGCAACTCCTTGATTTTGTGGCTGGTACATATATAATATTTTCATCCACTTTGGAAACAACATGTATATAAAATGCACAGTTGTCATAGATTTGCCATTTTTAACATGAATTGACAAATATATGTGGACATCCCATTGCTGTCTTCCCTCTGAAAGATAAGCAATCAAGCCTTCAGCAAGAGCTATTTTGCAAAGGTCATTACAAGCCTTGGGTTTAAAAAGAACCCCCTTACACTAAAGTGGTACAGTGTGAGGGACATAAAATCTGTATACACAAACAGAAGTACAATAGGGACTCTCAGAATCTTTCAGTGTTTCTCAGTCTAGCTACTCCAGAACAAATATTGAAATTTCTAACACCGTCAAATTGAGGGTTCAAGAAAGCAGCAACTGAATCTTCTGTGTTATATGCAGCATCAGCTTTGAAAGCTGTTTGCCTCTAGATCTCTAAGCTCTGTATTTACTGTCAGACTACACAACAGTCCATAGAGTAAGGGATATAGTCATACAAGACCAGTACGTGCTTCACGCTTACTACATTTGTTCATTACTGTCAATGGCTGGTTCAGCCCAGTTCCGTGACTAGCAGGGTGGAGGGATTTTGCAAAATCTGCGCTTTTGGAAAAAGGGAACAAGGGATCCCAAAATAATTAAAAACAGCGGCAATGATCTGAGGAGAAACTAACTAACTTACTAAATACATAATATCGGAATGCAAGATAACACATTATAATACTATATAATCAGAATTGAAGCTAATAAATCAAATATAATGAGAGAAAGAATGTAGGAAAGGTGGATAGGCCTCACCATAACGCTGAGGTGAGATGCGCAGTCCAGTTGAGCAGCAGGGAGACGGGAGGAGAGCTGATGAAGAAGAGCGGACGAGAAAGAGCGCATCAGGTGACCTTGCCAGGAGTTGTATCTCCTCTCTGTGACCGCAAAGTCCCCTGGGGAATGCAGTTCTTCTTCTCTTCTGGGCAGGTACCCAGAACTTGAGCATTAACAGTTAAACTCCCAGTGCCCCACATGATGCTATTATGTGGGATACCGAAAACCAAAAGGTCACAAAACCATGACATTCCACCCCTTATTCTACATCACTACATCATGCTTAATATATACAAGCAAACAATAATTCCAAACATTAAACACACGCACACACAAACCTATCTATGTACATGGAATTACTGACTGCACTCCCCCAACATCAAATTCCCTTGTGGTACACATTGAACATCCCCGTTTTTCTGCATCACCCACCAAGTGGACCCAGGTCCCTGGGCAAAAACAGTTCCATGAAGAGGTTTGCCCTTCCCAAAAGCGGGAAGGACCCAAACCGCTTTTCCCAACATGTTCTTTACATGTACTACAGGGACCTTATCTCCCTTGACAGTATGTAGGGAGCTAGCAGGACCACCACAATTGATCCTCTAGTATTGACCAACTAGGTGGCTTCTGCCAAATGGTTCTCCCAATGCTTAAATGTTCCGCCACCCAGTGCTTTCAACAAAGTTTTTAACAATCCATTGCAGAGTTCAATTTTACTAGAAGTTGGTTCATGATAGGGGATATGATAAATCCACTCAATGCCATGATCTTTGGCCCAAGTATTTACAAGAGAATTTTTGAAATGAGTCCCAATATCTGATTCAATTCTTTCTGGAGTGCCACGTCGCCACAGGATTTGTTTCTTGAGACATGATATGGTGTTTTGGGGTACTGCATATGTTTCAAGCCACACAGTGGTTGCCTCCACCATAGTAAGCACATAACACTTCGTGGCAAGGTGATATAATCAACCTGCCATGCTTCCCCATATTTATACTTTTGCCATCACCCTTCCCCCCAGAGAGTTTTCATCCTCTTGGCTTGTTTAATTGTGGCGCATATGTCACAGTCATGAATAACCTGTGCAATAGCATCCATAGTTAAGTCCACCCCTCGGTCTCTAGCCCATTTGTATGTTGCATCTCTTCCTTGATAACCGGAAGTCTCATGGGCCCACGGAGCTAGAAATAATTCACTCTTGTATTGCCAGTCCAAGTCTATTTAAGCCATCTTAATTTTGGCAGCTCGATCTACCTGATGGTTATTTTGCTGCTTTTCAGTAGCCCGACTCATGGGCAAATGAGCATCTACATGGCGCACCTTTACAACCATATTCTCTATTCGGGCAGCAATGTCTTTCCACAGTTCAGGAGCCCAAATAGGTTTACCCATTCTTTGCCAGTTATTTTGCTCCCACTGCTGTAACCACCCCCAAAAGGCGTTTGTTATCATCCATGAGTCAGTGTAGAGATAGAGCATTGGCCACCTCTCCCATTCAGCAACATTTAAGGCCAGCTGGACAGCCTTTACCTCTGTAAATTGGCTTGATTCTCCTTTCCCTTCACTGGTCTCTGCAACTTGTCGTGTGGGGTCCATACAGCAGCTTTCCATCTGCAATGCTTCCCCACAATATGACACGATCCATCTGTGAACAGGGCATATTTCTTTTAATTCTCTGGTAGTTCACTGTATGGTGGGGCCCCTTTAGCACGCAATACTTCTTCTGCTGGTGATGTTCCAAACTTTCTACCTTCAGGCCAGTCCAAGATCACCTCTAGGATTACTGGACGGTTGAGGTTCCTCATCCACGCACGCTGCGTAATCAATGCAACCCACTTACTCCAAGTGGCATCAGTTGCATGATGAGTGGAGGGAATCTTTCCCTTGAACATCCAGTTCAGCACTGGCAGTCAAGGTGCCAGAAGGAGCTGACATCTGACCAGCTACTTCAGAAGCAGCCCAAACTCCCTCATGAGCGGCTAAGATCTCCTTCTCAGTTGGAGTGTAGCACTCTTTCCGACCCTCTGTACGCCCGACTTCAAAATCCCAGGGGTTGGCCTCTGGTCTCACATGAGGCTCTTTGCCACACACTCCAAGTGGGACCTTTCTCTCCAGCAGCAGTGTAGACAATGTTCTTCACATCCTGTTCCATCCGTACTGGCCCCAGGGCCACAGCACAAGCTATCTCTTGTTTAATCTGTTCAAAAGCCTGCTGCTGCTCAGGACCCCACACAAAATCATTCTTCTTCCGTGTCACATGATAAAGGGGGCTTACAATGAGGCTGTAGTTTGGAACATGCATTCGCCAAAAGCTCACTGCACCCAGAAACGATTGTGTCTCTTTCTTATTAGCGGGTGGAGACATGGCAGTGATTTTGTCCATCACATCTGTCGTGATGTGACAACAGCCATCTTGCCACTTTATACCTAGGAATTGAATTTTCTGGGCAGGTCCCTTCACTTTTCTTTGCTTAATAGCGAAACCAGCACGGAGAAGGATCTGGATTATTTGCTCTCCTTTCTCAAAAAATTCCTTTGATGTGTTGCCCCACACAATGATGTCATCAATGTACTGTAAGTGCTCTGGAGCACCTCCCTGTTCCAGTGTGGCTTGGATCAACCCATGACAAATGGTTGGACTATGTTTCTACCCCTGGGGCAAACGATTCCAGGTATACTGAATGCCCCTGCAGGTGAAAGCAAACTGTGGCCTAGATTCTTTGGCCAAAGGAATGGAGAAAAAGGCATTAGCGATGTCAGTGGTGGCATACCACTTAGCTGCTTTTGACTCCAGTTCATAATGGAGTTCTAACAAGTCCGGCACAGCAGCACTCAGTGGGAGTGTGACTTCATTCAGGCCACGGTAGTCCGTCAGCCTCCATTCTCCACTGGCTTTACGCACTGGCCATATGGGGCTGTTAAAAGGCGAGTGAGTCTTGCTGATCACTCTCTGATTCTCAAGTTGACGAATCAACTTATGAATGGGGAGCAAGGAATCCCTGTTGGTGCGGTACTGCCATCTGTGCATCATTTCTGTAGCAATCGGTACCTGTTGCTTCTTCACTCGTAGCAACCCCACAACAGACGGATCTTCTGATAGGCCAGGCAGAACAGACAACTGCTTAACACCTTCTGTGTCTACAGCAGCTATTCCAAAGGTCCATCAATACCCTTAGGGATCCTTAAAATATCCCCTTCTGAGGTAATCAATACCAAGTATACATGGAGCCCCTGGGCCAGTCACAATAGGGTGCTTTTGCCAGTCTTTACCAGTGAGGCTGATTTCAGCCTCCAACATAGTCAGCTCTTGGGAACCCCCAGTCACCCCATGATTATAAATTGATTCTGTCCTTTGGTGACTTGAGGGCATTAGAGTGCACTGTGCACCAGTGCCCACCAGGGCCTTATATTTCTGTGGTTCTGATGTTCCAGGCAGTCCAATATACTCTCTCTATTATCCCTTTCCCCCCCGGCTGGGGGCAGGGCCCCTCTATTTGTTACCTCCATTGTTTGTAGCAACTGGAGCAGTCACCTTTTTGGAGAAGTTCACCTTGGTGGTTGATTTGTCTTGTAATTCTTTTACCCGTGCTTGAAGTGCAGGAGTAGCTTGTTTATGCCACTTCTTCATATCTTCTCCATGGTCACGCAGGTAATGCCAGAAGGCAAAATGTGACATAGTCTTATTGTTGTCACTTGCTTGAGCAGGAAGACATCTTCTTTTGATAGCTGAGACATAGGATGACACCCGCTGGGAGGAAACCAAGTTGATCAGCCCCTCCAGTAGGCTGTTTTGGGAATTCTGGTCCCCGTTGGTTGTATCTGGTACCACTGTGGATCCATCAGCATTAGGCACGTTTTGACAGTTTTCCTATTATATCTTCTTGTTTGCTCTCCATTCTGTTCAGCTTTTCAGCTACCTTTACAATGGCTGAAACACAATCTTGTAGAGGGCTTAAATGTAACTCAAAGTCTTGAAGTTTATTAATCAGTTCACTTATAAGGGGTCTTCTTTCCCCTTTGCCATACATTGCTGCAAATGTACTGGCGTACCTTTCTGGTGCAGTCTTTGTGAATGTATGCCACATATTTGGTGTACACCTGACTCTCTCAGGATCATGCTCTTATCAGTCCATTTCTTTTTTTCAGGCATCAGATCGTCTTTGAAGGGGCATCTTTCTTTTACAGCTAACAGCATCCGCTTCCAGAGGGTAAAGGCCTGATTCTGGCATGTACCAATGCCTCTGTCAATGGCTGAGTCCCTAGCAATGCCACCCAGTTGGCAAGTTTCTCTACTATCCAGCCACACACTGTTGATCTGATTGTCCCAGCATTGAAGTGAACAAGTAACAATAGGCTCATCTGGGCAACGTGAGAAGTCTTTTCTCAGACTTCGAATTTCATTCATTTTCAGAGATCGATCAACAAAGGTAACAATATCTTGCTCACCTCTTTCAGGACTCTTTCAGGACTTCTTGTTGCCCTCATAGACGTTAGTGACCGTGGTCTTACTGAGGGCCCCTCCCCTGGACTCAGGGGTATTTCTCCTGGACCTCTGAACCACTTCTCTGGACCTCTTTCCTCCTCTTTCTTCTGTTCTGAGTTGAGATTCGTTTTGTTTTCCATAACTCTTACAGGGGCAATTGACATTAATTGTGGTGCCTTCTGTGGTTGATCAGGTCGGTCAGTTCCGATGCTCTCACCCTCTAGCTCAGCTTGGAGTTTGTTTTGTTCGATTATGAGAGTATTTAGTTCAGAGTGGAGGGTGTCTCACTCAATTTGGAGGGTGTCCCATTCAGATTGGAGGGTGTCGAGTTTGGATTGGAGGGATTCTCGCTCAGCTCCTAAGACATCTCGTTGAGATTGGAGATTCCTTCTCTCAGCTCAGAGACTTTCCCCTTCGGCTTGGAGACTTTCTCTTTGGATTTGGAGACTCTTGTTTCTTGACTAAGAGACTCTCCTGGAAACTCTCCTTTTCAGCCTGGAGACTCTCTGCTTGGGATTGCAGGGAGTCTCTCTTGATTTGGAGGGCGTCTCTCTCGGACTTGAGGATATCCCTCTCAGATTGGAGGTCTTTTCTCTTGACCAGGAAACTCTCTTGCTCATTTTGTACTGCCTCCCTGAGACTCTCCCTTTCAGCTCTCACACATTCTCTCTCAATTTCACGAACTCTCTCTCTTTTTGGGATACAATTGAAAAAGGCCTGATAAGCATTAGCCAGGCCCCAAATCATTTGTGCCTCCTCAGATCTGCCTGAGCCGCAACATCCCTGTCTCAAATATCTGTTAGGCTCCAAGAGTCTTTCAGGTGTTCAGGAGTAAAGTTCCATGACACCGAAGATGTCTGTCTGTCTAAAGTCTCTCCCAAGCCTCTCCACACTCCCTGCCACTCAGTATTCTCTGGTTCTGGAGAAGGCTTCTTCAAAATACGATAAATACAGATGCTGAGTGAAATAATTAAAATGATGAACAGTACATTCAGGGAGATTAACAATGTGATCAGATGAGCATTCAAAAAAGGCATAAAGGATTCAAAGGAGAAACTAGGAGCCTGCTTAAAAATCACAAGTTCTGTAAAATTAGCAGCTCCCTCTGCAAACAGGTGTAAAAGAGAAAGCGGAATCACTTTTTTTCTCCTTACGGAAGCAAGATAGCAGTGCTCAAAGTTTACAAATATCCCAGAATATTGGCAGTCTGCCTGGACTTCAAGGTCAAGTTTTCAGTGAGCACCTGTGGAAACAGATAAACTTTCCCAACAAAGCCCTCCAAGAGCAGAGAGAGATTTGTTCTAAAAAGCAGCTTTTGCCCTCATTCTCCACCAAGAATGTCAACGGTTTATGGGCTGGTTGGGCCCTGTTCCGTGACTAGCAGGGCGGAGGGATTTTGCAAAATCTGTGTTTCTGGAAAAAGGGAACAAGGGACCCCAAAATAATTAAAAACAGTGGCAATGATCTGAGGAGAAACTAACTAACTTACTAAATATATAATATCGGAATGCAAGATAACACATTATAATACTATATAATCAGAATTAAAGCTAATAAATATAATGAGAGAAGGAATGTAGGAAAGGAGGATAGGCCTCACCATAATGCTGAGGTGAGATACGCAGTCCAGCTGAGCAACAGAGAGACAGGAGGAGAGCCGATGAAGAAGTGCGGACGAGAAAGAGCGCATCAGGTGACCTTGCCAGGAGTTGTATCTTCTCTTTGTGACCGCAAAGTCCTCTGGGGAATGTAGTTCTTCTCTTCTGAACATGTACCCAGAACTTGAGCATTAACAGTTAAACTCCCAATGCCCCACATGATGTTATGATGTGGAATACCGAAAACCAAAAATCACAAAACCATGAAATCTTCTGTGCTACATGTAGCATTAGTTTTGAAAGCTATTTACCTCTAGATTTCTTAGCTCTGTATTTACTGGCAAACTATACAACAGTCCATAGAGTAAGGGATATGGTCATACAAGCCCAGTATGTGCTTCACGC